AAATTATATGATCGCATAGTAACAGAACACACGTAAGATGTTGACACAGAGCAGAAGGAAGGTTAGAAGTTCAGATGGACCAAACAGCAGGACAAAAGGCATGGAGGAATAAATCCCATGGGATGTTAAGGCAAAAACTGTGCTGAAAATCTTTCTCTTGAAGAGGGCGCCCCTACCCCCTTTTCTATCGCTGTTTGAATGGAAATGGGAGTTTAAGAATTGTCATGAACCTGCTATTTGCATATTTAACTCATTTTTCTTTCTAGGATTGTCTGTTCTGCAACACAGATTTTTCCTATCTTTATCCCTCACATTTTTCCACTTTCATTTGATTAGATAATTTTATTTCTGGCAAAGTATTCCATTGACATCACAGAGGAAGAAAGCAAAATTAAAAACCAATTCATACATTCCGTTATCTGCCTTCTGACCAGTTAACACTGAATGAGAACAAACACTGGGCTGCAAGTTTGCCCTTGCACTTTCCAAGAAACAAATGTTTAAAGAGAAAACATCCAAAATTAAAAAGACATTATTTCTGTTCTCATAACTATTCAAGGGGGAAAGGATGGAACATGAAACAATAATAAAGAAAATCTTAACTGACTTGCATTGCTTTAGAACAATAGATTTACATGATTACTTTATGAGTGATAAAGTCAACCTCTGATAGGAATATTGCCCCTAGGTACTTTTTTTTAACAGAAAGTTTCTAAATCTAGAACAAAGCAACAAGACTATCACTCTGTATAAATATATGAAAAATGATACAGCCAGCAACTGAACAAGTCCAACCGACACTGAGAAGGCTCTTGCCACATAAGTAGACTTGACCTCCATGACTTGCTAATCCCCAAATGCTTTTGTCTTAGCTGGTTAGGATCCTTCAAAGACCTGAAACCACAGATTCTACGTATAAGTGTACATATACTGAGAGTGTTTAGCATATGCAGCCCACAGTGGGGTGAAGAGATGGGGAAGGGCCAGGAACCATCGAAGGAAAGATGATGCAGGCGTAGGGAGGATCCAGCTGTCTCCTCTGCCCTTTTGCCACACCTGCTTCTTTCTGGAGCTGCTTCAGAGCTGCTCCTTCCAGACAGGAATACAAGTCTCTCTCTAGGCAAGCTCTTTGCTCCTTTCCCAGTCCAGTTAAGTAGCAAGTTTCCCATAGCTTGAACCTAGCATCCAACTTTCCTCATGAGCAGATGATACTGAGATCTACTGACCTTCAGAGAGGGCTTTTAAAACTTGACATTATCCAAAATGTCAACAAACTTAGACGGAACATTTATATTAGACACAGTTATCTAGTTACTCTGGTTTTACTGGCTTCCTAAGAATATAATATAACAATAAATCCATTTGATGAAATAACCAATTTTTTCCCCCTCTCCTCCCGGGACCCTCACTTTCCCTGATCTCGACTCTAACGCTAATCTTCTAACTTATCTAGCTGCCTCTAGTCTCTTCCCACTTCAGCCCATTTCTGGGTTGTTCCCCAAATGATCTTTCTAATATGGGACTTGACAATGCCCCTATTTAAAGCATTTCTGATAGCTCTCAGAACTAAAGGATAAAACGGTAGTTAACCTGCATGCAAGGCTGTGCACAGTTACCTTTCTCACCTTACCTCTTCCCTTTCGTACCTGACGGCTCTGCAGAATTTCAGCCTGGTGAACATGCCTGACTCTGAGATCCCGAGACCGAGTCACACCCTCCTGTGTAATACCATAGCAGTGACTGGATGCTCCTAGGGGCCCGAGTATTACTGGAGCTCTTGTTCATCTGAAGATCATCATCACTGCTTAGCAGACTGCCTGGTATGTTGGCTGAGTAGATTTAAAAAGGTGGCTGAATTAGTTCCCATTTGACTAGCGCGTTCTTAAATCAAAACCACTAGTCCTAACAGGTTTTATTGGCTCCAAATGATTACCTGCGTGTTTGAGGCCACTTTTGGCTAATCACACATTCCTAGCGATAGGCAACATGAGGATGTGTGTGCATAAGTGTGTGCATAAGTGTACCAAAGCCAAAGATACATGGGATTGTGCCTAAAGTTGGTTACGTGAAATAAATCCAACTTTTGACAGATGAACACACAAATCACTTTCATATAAATATATTTTATTGCAGAGAAGTTATAAGTATTTACATGCTGCAACACGTCACAACATAAATTTACCAAATATTTTATGGTGGGATGCTGTAGGTTTCAGATAATAGTTTCAGAAGAACCACAGATTACGTGAGGAGACTGATAGCTTTATTGACTCTACAACTCTCGGTCGCTAAGTGCTAGAAGTCAAAAGGCAGTGTTTGTTCAGTCCTACCTGTCATCACTCGCATGCAGAAACCTAGGAAGCAAACACAAGAGAACTGTCGAGTTTCAAATCCATGTTGCCACCAAAGTTTACAATGGGTTGGGTTATAATTCATGTCGTAAAGCATTTAATTCTTGCATAAAATATACAGTTCTATTAAGATTGGTATAAATCTACTTATTTATAAACCCTGGCTTAAAAACGAGGACAGGATACAGCCGCACATGCAGTGAGAAGGACAACCTAGCAAATGTTTGTGAACTAACGTGTTTCTTCACTTTCTTATGGTTATCAATCTGGGAAAATAACCTCAAGGACTGTAGATTTACACTTGTCTTGGTGATAAGTTATGGCAATGAACTCCAGGAAAGACCCTAGGTGCTTTCACTGATTTATGCTGGTGGAGGAAACTCTAGGGACTGGACTTAGGCATAATCTGGCAAGCCTTCTTTAGGCCTCGTCTCAAACAGGGTCATCCTAAAGTGCAATACAAACTCATCGATGCCTGACTGCTTATTTCTCAAAAAGTCAATAAAGTGCTAACAGATCTCGGACAGAAATGAAACAAGTAGGTGGGTCTGGACACTCCAAACCAAATTCACAACTCCATGCCTGAAAGTTGTGTTCCAAGGTCACCAAGTAGATAGGATTTGATTGAAAAGGAAGGGGAGAGGAAATAAGTGAAGAAAACACAAACAAATAGGAGGTCTGTATCTCTCCAAACCTGCCCCACCATCCTGAGTAACGCACGAAGCAAGCAAACGGGTGAGGAAGATTTACGCACAGCTTTGCAAAATGGTGCAATGCGTGTTTACTCCTGATTCCAAATCATCGAGAAAATTCTGATGACGATTAAGGAGAATTTCTGGTTTTTATCTTCCACTGAGAGTAATATTCCCTAAGAACAGCCCTGTATCCACCTTCTGATCCCTCTTCTCATTTTTTTTCTCCTCCCAGCACGTTCTCCTTGCTGCTCAAGAAACGAAAAACAGTGCCTTAGGCTGGGGATGCCCTGGCCAAACAAGCTGTTGATACTTCAGTGTTTAACATGAGAGAAAGGGAAGTCTGCGCTCTATTTTTAAGAGATTCATCTTAAAATAAAATGAGACTCAGCTTTGGAATGGACTCTCTTTGCATGCTCCCATCAGTAGGGGTGAATCAGCAGCTTAGGATTCCCGTGCCAGTGATCAGTGTGGAATACAATATATTTTTTAAAATACATTTTGGGGGGCTGTTTCACTTTGCAAATAAACCATACATTTGACATTGTGAGCTAGGTGGCTCACAAAGGCCATCTGCAGGGCTTGTAAGTTTTCTGGTGCTTGGAAAAATGGACCATGTTATAGGCTTTGAGTAAATCAGGTTATAAACCTCTTTGGGATTCGAGCCCAGCAGGTTCTACCCCTGCCTGAAGCAAAGAATAAGAGTTTATGAGAATAAGTAGTTTAAGGTAATTTAAAATAGTATATATTCAGTATGCATAATAAAAATATATCCATACAGTGATCTTGATGCTATAATAATAATTTTTCTCTTTAAAAATATAATCCCCTTGAAAGTGCTATCAGGAGCTTCCTTTCTGTTTTTGTTTTAAAGGCAAATTACCTGGCTCTGCAGTACTGTAATTCTCGTGTTATTCCTAGAGTCTTCCCTTTCCAAAGGTAATAATAATGCACAGTATATTTTTCTCACTCTTTCAGCTTCTTCCTTTCTTCTGAAATGCTGCTAAGTATGAAATACTGAAAGAATTAAAAGGGACAATTAATTGGAATGAAGGCGTTATCGACCTCTGACTCTGAACAAACAATAGATAAGTTGTCCTTAACTTATTGAGACATATGACTAAGTAGGACCACTTGATCTCCAGTCCTAATAAAGCCTCTGAGTCCTAACAGGAAGTGCAAAACAGGAAACTCAACTTGTATGAAAAAACCTTGATTGAGACAGTGTAACAAACCATGATGGGAAATAATAGAGTCAAATTTAAAGTCACAATATATCAACCACAGCCCAAACTGAAAGGTTTTATCATAACAGTGATGGCTTCCTGAGCCAGAGAAAGCTTACTGTACTTCAAGGATCAACTACAGTCGACAGACAGCAGGTATTCTGTAAGTTGCAATAACAATTGAGTAGCTGCAGATTGCATAAATGTGTTGTGTCACATAATATCAAAGTTATTTGCAAAAATTATACAGTCTGGAATGCTTGAATATGAGACACAACAAGGTACTGAAACATACATTTATAAGAAAATGAGAGCAATCATTAATATAAAAGATATTTTTGGATGCATTAAGTTAGCAGTGCTATCAAGGTTAAATAGGTAAATAAGTTCTTTTTAGTCGACTACTTAGAATTTCGGTCATATACGTTGATATATTCTTCTTTGCAAAATCTTAGACCTCTTCTGTGTCTTCTGGTTTGCCTTGCTTGGGATCTTCAGAGTCCCAAGAGTAAGTATTGATCAGGGGCAGACATTGAAGGGGTACTTCCCTAAAACATGCTGAAGGGTAAAGATTTTCCTAGGATGGCCTGGGGAAAGGCTTCCTTGGCCAGTCTCACTTCTCCATTCTGACATCGCTCTGGCCTGAGGTCTTCCTCCACCCCTGCCTTTCCATTTCCCTCAACTGATCAATACTCCTTGGGAATTTCTGATCCTCATAACTTCTGTCTTAACACTGAATCCAACACTTCTTCCTTCTCCTTTTCTTTCTGGGCATGCTACACTTTAAAAGTATCCCAGATCTCTTATTTCCGGGGCCCCACTATCTTATTTGCACTTAAAGCAGAAGAGGCCGGGAAAGCTACACTTCTTTCAGCATTTGGTTGATCTGGGGTCTCAAACTCCCAAGGGCACACCTCAGCTCGCGACATTAAATGTTGCTGAAAGTTATTACTTGGGTTATAGGAGTCAGGCACGTTTCGCTCAGAGGGAGATGTCTTTCTCTCCTGGTCTCCTATTTGGCTGAGACTTTCATTCTTCACTTTGGATGCTACAACTTTGGGAGAAAGCTCTTCAGACCACCCAGCACACACATTGGCTGCATGATGCTGGCCCCCCTTCTCATCTTTAGCTCTTCCTGGGGGAACCTGAGTCTTGGGAATCAAATACTTCTCATCTTCATAAAGGGACTGACCTTGGCTCTCCCAAGGGCACACCTCAGCCTTGTCTAGGCTCTTCTGATTGGATGGCTGACACAGTTCAGCTGCCTTAGGCTTGGGATGAGATTTCTCCTTTAAGGAAAAAGTTGGGTTTTTCTCCATTTCAGAAGCTGCAATAGATACGTGCTTTTGAACTTTTGAATCTGAAGGCACAGGACCAGGGGTCAGGTCGTAAATCTCCCAAGGGCACACCTCCCCTATGTCAAAGTCGTCCTTCCTCTGGGTGGTGCCTGGGCTCAGCTCAGAATTGGCAGTGGAGGGGTTGGCCCTTTGTTGCTTCATAATCCCAGATTTCTGGGGTCTTCTCGGCTCCTCTGAATGACTGGAGTTGGTGGGGGCAGGATCTTTAGTCTCTGCATTATCTGAATTTGAGTATTTTCTGTTTGTCTCTTTTTCTCTTGGCTTCTGGGACTTAGCCCGTTCCTCCACGCCTGATGTTTGGGTTTTCCCAGCTAATCCGAGAGTCTTCTCCTTGGCACTTGCTATGACGCTGAGGGACTTCTGTAGCATGGATGTTCGTGGGTGCCCCGGCTTCTTTTCCGAGCTGAGGTTGTGGGCACTCGCCGACTTACACACCAAAGGCACAGACTCTGTGGACACAGCCTCGCTGTTTTCTTTCAGTGTCTGTGTTGGTTTTTTCCCCGGCAGAGACTCCAGCGTGGAGTTTTCTGTCACCTCCTCTTCTTGGCTCTCGGTTGGCAAGCTCGTGGACACCTCCGGCTGCTCCCGCACGTGGTCATATGTGCTGTGGGATTTCTTTAGGGAGAAGACTCGGTTTTTCAGGGACTCCTCCTTGGGCTTCCCAGTGTTACCCGAAGACTCCTGTGGGTTCTTCCTGCCCAGGGCCGTGCTCTTGGCCATGCTGTGGTCCACGGCATCCTTGTCCTCTTTGGAACACTGCCTGCTGACCGTCTCCGGGATCTCAGTGATGCGCCTCATGATTGAACGGCCTAAGCCCTTCTTGGAGCACCGCTTTTTCTGGAGGTGGGGGTTATTTGTGATCATCTTCTTCCTTTTATAGATTTCCAACTGCGCATAGAGTTTCTTCAGCTCGTCCTGCCGGAAACAAGAGTAAATTCAGAGAGGTGTGGAATTTAGCATTTCACCTGGATTATATCACTGAATGTCATGTGAAGTCAATACACTGAGCTCTTTAGGGAACTGCCCTCTACAGTTCTTCCTGACATCTCTGCCCATCAACTTCTCTCTCACTCTGATGTTCTGATTCCCCTGTATCTTGTTTCATACATAGTTTGAACTTTAAGTCACGAACCCATACATTCTACACTTGCTCCATGGAACAAGCACTTAGAACTTGTGAGTTGTGTGGACCAGGCTGAGGCTGGACCGTAACAAGGCACAGCCTGTTGTCTCCTGATGGACCAGACCCCTGGACAATATCGGAAGCATCATGTAGCCATTGACAGAATTACACCTAATGTTAGATTAGGGTTAGGGTATGACAGACCATCAAATTCTAAAAGCATCTTCTCCCTCCAAATGCTGACAGAGCGTCACAGATTATTTTAAAGAATCCCCACTCTCTTCCCACAGATCTATCTTACCCTCCCAGCAGCAAGATGTCATAAACTGTATTATGGGGCTTGTACCACCATTATGGCTGCCAGTAAGTCAGCTGAGACTATCAAGACTGCCTTGTGCATTCTAACCTATACTCTGATTGTATGTTTTAGAATTGTCTTAAGTCTGCATTTGATGCCTTCATTTCTGACACCAACCCACATTCTCTGTCTCTCACACAAAGAAGCACACACGTGGGCACTCACAGACACCAATCCACACATGCGTGCCTGTGTGGTTGGGCTTAACCGGAAATGGAGAAGAAAAAAATACTGCTATTACCCGAATGTCTTCTGGATCCAGGCTGTGCTCACTCCAGGCTGAATTGATACTGCTGTTCAGGTAGGACCCAGACCGGCCCATGTCCAGCTCGTCCTCATACGCTTCTGTAGCAATGTCATCACGCGGGTTATTGCTTGAATGTGAAAACTGCAACAGATATGCAATATGAGCCATGGATATTAGCCCACTGTAAGACATGGCATAATAATTTTCTAAAGATTCTAATGTTACATCATGTCTGTAGCTTGGACGAATTCATTCACTGAACCCTTTACAAAAGAGTTGCTGCTCTATTTGTGATTTTCTTTCCATGTCACATGCTAGAGCGCTTAGTGAGGCAGTATTAGCACTTGGTTCCCTCTTTTAAAATTTTTTTAAACTTGTTTTTTGGAGGGGGAGGTCATTGGTTTTACTTATTTATTTTTAGAGAAGCTACTGGGGATTGAACCCAGGACCTTGTGTACGCTAAGCATGTGCTCTACCGCTTGAGCTACACCCTCCCCCACTTGGTTCCCTCTTTGACTCCGTTTTTCATCCTCATCTTTCTTCCCAGGCTCCCAGTGTCCACTTGTATCACTCCTCTTTAATTATATTTTGCAATTCCAAAAACGAAAAAAAGTAGAAGAATCCAAAGAAATGTGCTTGAGAGTGCTCTTAGTAAACTGGACTCTAAGAGCAGCAATCTAGACCCCTTGGCAGCTGAATGGGAATGTGTTTTTGAGCAGTGGGGTCTACCTGGTGTTTCTCATTTCACCTCACATGGAGGAGGCTGTATTTCATCTATGGGCAAAACTGGCCCTGATCACAGGAATGTGACTTCCAGTCTACCATACAGAGCTTCTTCAAAAATACTACTTTCAAAACTCAGCGGACAGGAGATTTGAATTCCAGTCTCAGCTGTATGGTCAACGAGATCTTAACCAGGTCCTAGAACCTCTCCGGAGCACAGTCACCTCTCCACCTGAAGAGCTTGGGCTGGGTGGTATTTAAGTCTAAAATTCAAAGATTCACTGAAATTACAGATCTTTCCCCCCTAATTATTCTCAAGCTCCTCCTGCATCATATTTTGATATATTTTAATTATCTTCATGTCATCTTTTGATATTTTTTCAGGGTCTCTCACTATCTCTACTCTTCTTCCAGGGAGAAGGGAGGGATGTGAATTGGTAAGTGATGGGAAGCACGGAAAATCAAAAGCATCCTTTGCATGACATAGAAACCAAGTGACTGTCCTGTGAAAATGAAGAGAACGGCTTAGAGAACATGGATTCTCTTCTCCTAGCTTGTCACCAAGGTGAAATATTCCTTAAAAAGAAAAAAAAAAAGAACAGATTGCCCTTTGATACAAAGACACAGAAATATTTTAATGTCAACTGTTAAAATGTCCAGCTAGGCAGGTGAACATAAACAGGAGAGAACATGTGAAGTGGCAGTTCTCTACTTAAGTAAAAACAGTTTGTAGTTGGGACTGGCTGAGAAACCACAGACCCTGATGAACTTGCCCTTCATTCTTCTACTTACATCTCGGGGAGCCGCATGTGCAGTAAAGTTGAGGCCATTGAGATGGATAAAAAAGAGTCCTGGTCCTCCAAAATCTCCTGTGCTACTAGTTAAACTGGCTGTGGTTATTTATAAAATGGAATTCTTTTTCTTGAGCAAAGTCTTAGCGACGACCATGAGTTTAAGAAATGGTTATTTGTCAGATGTTGTCTATTTCCTGCTTTATTATTTTTCCTTAATGCTTATCTCTATCTAAAATACTACTTTAAATATTTATTTTGTGAATCTGTCTTGCTTCCTCCTCTCTTCTTCCAGAATATAAGTACCACGAGAGCACAGATTTACGTCTGCTTATTAATCTTATTCCAGGATATGGAACAGTGGTCAGCAAAGCTCCTAAATGTTTTCAATTATTTATTTACCGAGAAATAATTCACATACCATAAAATCCCCCGATTTAAACCATACAAATCAGTGTTTGTTAGTACACTCGCAAGCCTGCACGGTCATCACCACTATCTAATTCCAGAATATTTTTGTTATTCCAGAGAGAAAGCCTGAACCTGTAGAACTGTCACTCCCCTTCCCCCTGCCCCTTCCCCAGCCCACGGCACCCACTGACCCACCTTCTGTCTCCTTAGAGCTGTCTATTCAGGACATTTCATATAAATAAAATATAATGTGTGGCCTTTCTTATCCGGCTTCCTTCACTTGGCTAGTGTTCCCAAGGTCTGAACGAGGTGCAGCATGTATCAGTGCTTCACCCCTTTTACTGATGACTAACAGTTCATTTTGTGAGTCTATCGCACTGCGTTTATCCGCTGATGGACATTTGGGTTGTTTCCACTATTTGGCTGTTATAGATAATGCTGCTGTGAACATTCGTGTACAACTTCCTGTATGTTTTCAGTTCTCTTTGGAGCTCAATAGCAACGTATTGAATGAATAAACAGTCAGAATGTACACCCATCTAATGAAAGTGTAATCATATTATGCAAAGTATAAAAATGATTGCGATAAATTGCAGGAACAGACTAATCCATGGAAATTATGGCTATTTGGTGTAATTCAAATAAGGAAGAAATAAGAATTTTGCTGTTTACGATTGTTTGGCCATTTCAATCAGGCTGAATTTCAGTGTTTTGGTTAATTGTGAGAGTTGAGGTAAAGAAAGCAAAGCCTAGAGGGAAAGAAAGAAATCACAATTCTGGTTTCATCCGTGCTAATGTTACAGTGCACAGCACTGATAAAGATATATGATGCTCTAATGTTTTGTTTTCCTACATGTAAAACAGGAAAACTGATAGTTTGTATAGTATGATTTTTCCCAAAACTCTGATTTTTTAATTTTATTTCAAGCAGCCTCACTGTTACCATGTCATAGATGAGGAAACTGAAACCCAGAAAGATGGAAAGTCTTGGCTGAAGTTATACTATACAGCTATATATTATATGTGTGTGTGTGTGTGTGTATCATACAGTTAATTTGGGATGGAGTATGAGTTCAGAATCCTTCTATTCTGGGTCCTGCCCCATTTCCCTCCACTTCATAATGCTGCCTAGATAAGCCTTTGCCAGAATCTATCATTGTTAAGAAAGACTCTCTTTACACAATATTAAAATTATTTCTGTTTATATAAAATTTCTCTGAATGTTTAAAACACAATACTTCCTGAATATGAATCCAGAGAAGAGCTTTCTTAGAATAGGATAATTCTCTTTAAAAATGATCTTGATGTTATAGCTATGATAAAAGCCACTGTGAACCTCTAATAATTAACACATACATAGATATCAAAACATTTGGAAAAAGAGTAAGACAGATGATGGATTTTGTACAAATTAAGGCAATTAAAATTATGTGAGATGTTTAATAAATTCCCAAAAGAAAAGAGACGCTTAGTTTCCTGAGGAGGAAGTTTTAAAAACACTGTCAAGCAAATCTCTCCACCTTCCCTTGCCTATGTTGCCAGATAGTTTTAAAAAAAGAAACAATTCCATGCTCATTTAAAAGACAACTGCCTTGCAAGAGAAAGTAATGTTGGAGGAATACCTTTGGAATCAAAAGCAACCCAATGGTGACTGTCACAGTCAAATGAGTATGTGCAAAATACAGCATCAACATCCAATCAGACTGAAGTCTTGAGGCAAGAACAAATCTGAAATGAGAATGCACCACATTAGAACCCAACAAGATCCCCACTTAAAATACTAGGCTACTTGGAAACTCTTCTCCTCAATGCGTTTGGAAAAAGCAAGCAAGCAAGCAAGCAAGAACTCAGACTGCTGCTTTTACGACATTTATTTTCATCACAGAAGAATAAGGGTCTAAGTAACCCTAATTAGATGCATAAGAATATGAACTCTTTATTGTTTATTTCTTTAAATTATCAAAAGTAAGAAAGACAGCATATATATAAATAATGTGCTAAACATTTCCTCGGATTATTGTTTTGTAGGCAAGTTGAATGTGCAAAGCAAAAGCAGTAGAACGCACGTCGATTCCAAAGAAGAGTAGGTTAAAAACTGGTTGTTTCAGGCAAATTTGGGTTATAAGACACACCCAAGTCATTCTTGATCATAATATTCTTCATTTAAAAATATTAATTAGAATTAAGAATGGATAAATACCTGTCTTAGTGAATGACCCCAGAGGTTTAAATGATAAACAATGTAATGGATAAGGCGAATATACTAATAATCGGCTTCTAAACTGCCCCTTTTATTTTTTTTATTAGTTTTAAAATGAAAATGTAGTTGATGTACAAAGTACATCTCTTAAAATAAAAATATTACTTTTTATAAAGTGTCAAATTATTTTAAAATCACTTCAAATGTAATTTTTAAAATCTCATCTTATTGAGGAATTTATGGAGTTGTATTCCAGGACAGCCCTGCAGGAAACATGAGTAGGAAGAAAATCCATGATTGTTCTCTGTTCTGGTCATTTTGGAGTATTTTCACAAATCATCAGGTGCATGTGCAAACTAAAACTCATGTTTTAAGGACTCATCCGTATGCAGAAGCCAGGTGTGGCTTTTATTAAGGTCATTTTGCAGTCATATCCTTCTTTTAATGTTTTCTCATCCATTGTTTATCCATGAAAGCTGAATACGAGATTTTAGAGCTTTTGGAATTAGAGAATTGGCATTTTGCTTCAACGGTAGACATCATCAAATTTGAAAAGCTAACATCCTAAGAAAAGCTTATGATACAAACATGAAAGAAACATGTATGAATCTAAAAATAGAGACTAATTTTATTTCTGCTTTATACCATATTCATGACAAATGTATGAAGTAAATTAATACTATTCACATTTAAAACAAAATTTCCATCAAATGGAGTTCTTCCTCATTTTTACCTCCATCCTCTCCCCACCCCCCCCCAAAAGCAAGCTGAAATGGAAGCTCATGAGTTAGCAACATGGAGAGAGTTCTCCTGTGTCATAAACAACTTAAGACTTATACGCAGAAGTGTAGAATGGTCATAACAGTTCACGGACAACTAAAAGTGATTTTCTGGATTAACATCTTTTCTAGCTCCTTTGTGAGAAAAGTAGCTTCACTGAATATGACTGAATCTTCACTTTGTTCAGGGATGGGATACTTTTGACATCGTCTGTGCTGGGTAAGGTAAGTTTATTTTAAGCACTGCACTAGGAGCATCTTACTTAGTAACAAGTTACAGTCTCTGAAGCACAGTACTGAAGCACAGAAGCAATACAAAATGTGCCCTGGAAAATAATACAGTCCTAATCTGCCGAGGCCACTGCCAGTACTGGAGGAGACAGTTTCCTCAAAGGAGATGGATTTACAGTCTAAAAGCATCCTCATGCGCTGGGAATTCCTATCTCAAATGCCAAGAGAAGTAAACTTGACACTAGCTTGACAATATCTCAAAAAAAAAACAGTTACATATATTTTGAATTAAAATAGGAAATCTTCCAAAAAATAATTTTGAAGTATACAGACATCAGTTGTTCTTAATCAGCTTTAATTACTGCCAGGTTTTTTTAGGCTACAGTTCTGATTAGAAAAACCTTAAGAAAAATTGAGTTTTGTAGTAGTATTAAAGCTTCAATTTTTAAAAAGAGTATTTCAACTTAAAAAATAGGTCTAGGAGCATAGAAATATTTGAAAATTGAGCTTAAGAATAAAGGCAAATTTTTTAAAAGTCTTGCACTCTTCCAAAAGTTTGCTTTATGCTTAGCACCAAAAATAAGTAAAGGATTAGATCAGACTGAGCAAAATGCCTTCTCATTATTTACCCTTCTAGACTTAATCCTTTTAGGTTATTTCTGTTCAGTCTGACAATTTGGTAAAAAAGAAAGTAAGTCTGTACATAATATGTAGTCATAGTTTTAAATTTATATGTATGTATGTATAAATATATATACATACATATTTGTACACATAATTTTATATTTTAAGCAGACAAGAACATATATACCTATTTATACAGAATATCTTTGCTGATGTTGGATGCCTTATTTAATATTATTTCATTCTAGGAAAAAGTTATCAAGATGAATCCAGGTGATTTAAATTATTAGGTTATTGCTTCTTATCCTTGAACTTTATTAATAATGGAACCACAGCATATACGAATTTAGTCCACGTGCAAAGAAGAAATTGTGCTTCCTTAATTTCTTTAATTATCACTGTTTATTACTTGCTCCTGGCTCATGCCCCTAAAATCAGTGCTTTGTAGATTTATTTTGTTTTAAACTGTAATTCCATTGTTGGTCCCTTACGGCCATAAAAATTAAATTTCCAAGAGAGAGGAGCTATGATTCTTTGAAGCCAATATGCTACTATCTAATCAATTCTGGTCTATGTAGAAAAGTCAGCTTTGGAACTTGAAATGTATAGATTCCCATTCAGATTTGTGGAGGCTTGCCTAAGAGAATAGCAGAAGCTGCCAAGCCTGGTCACTGTGCTGCCATTGGAAGTCGTCCTCGTTCAAAACTGAAAGGGGTCCACAGAGTTGTCTGGAAGAAAATTGATCTTCTGAGATCAAATTGATCATGCAGTGTCTACTCAACACCAAACCTACTAGGTTCAAGATCAACAATTCAATCAGAGCTTGTGTCTACACAAACCCAGCTCACAGTTCATACGATTCTTCTGGCTGGATGGGTGGGTTGTTTGGGACTTTGTAGGAAAAATCTAAGCAGAGTAAGAAAGCTCTTCTTTTTTTTTTGCTCACATTTAATTCTTATTTTGATATTTTTTAATGCTGCACAACACAATATTTATTTCATTTGTTTCATTTATTTATTTTATTTATTTCTGTTTGCTGCTGTTATTTTATTTGCTTAAAGAGAGAGGGAATGTTTGTGGCCTTTTTTTCTTTTTCTGTAGGCCGCCTTAAGCTTTTTAAATTTGGAATATTTAGGCAAGCTGAAGGGTACCGGGGTTTCTGCAAGATCACTGTGGGGAAAGGCGAGGTGGCTTTGTTAGTCATGCCCTATGGTGGGTGATCAAGTGCGTGCACCATTAAATTTTACTTTTAATTGTGCTTAAGGCCTTAATTAAATTTGGAGGTTCCCTTCTTAGAGCAGCTCGTACTGACGGAGGTGCACGCGCCGGGTGACGTCACGGCAGTCGCTGGACACCCGCAGCAGCCGGCGGTGCGTGGCCCGGCAGGCGTGCGTGTCCTCCTGCAGCTGCTTCTCCAGCTTGCTGCCGGCCTGG